GAAAATACTTTCTTTTCTAGGTATTTATTAATTATTTGGGCAAACATAAAATACAATATCTGCTGTTATTTGTATCTATTGGAGTAGGATAGTGCTGTGGATTACAAGCAGCTAGAATGGAAACAGGAATTAGAAGATGCAATCATTTTTGTAGTAAAGTTATATACATGGACTTCTGATTTATACATGTCTTGCCTGTTCTGAACAATTTTAAAAATAAGTATAATAGCCAAATGATTTAGTCATTACTTAAAACTGAATTACATGGATGTCTTAGCAATAATGCTGATGCAGAAGATGTTAAGTGGCATTGCAAGAAAAATATTTGTCTAAAATTCCAAAAAAAAAAAAAATAATCAATAACCACATGAGTAAAATGAAAAACATAGCCCTTGTTATAAACTCACACATCTCTAAATTCTATCATTTCTACAGTTACTAACTTTTCCACATCAGTAGTAATTGGGCTTACAAATATAACTAGATAGTTATAAACTTTATTTTACAGTATTATAAAGTATTTTCAACATTTTAAGCCAGTATTATCACAACACTTAACATGATACTCATAAAGAAATGGGGCCATAAACGCTAATTCCATTAACAGTTGTTAAGTGTGACCAGTTTTCTACTGAACTCCATGAATCAAAGTCCTTTATTTTTTTTCTTTTTTGTTATACTCATGGCTTGGCAAAACCAGGTCAAGTCTATAAAATTAGCACAAGTATACATTAAAATAATTTCAAATATTACATCTATATAGTACTATCTTTATGCACATTTCACATTCATGAGCATCCCCTACCCCCAGTGTGAAAAGCTGAGAGAACAGGAAAAGAACGAATGTTTAAGGTAAGTTCCTTTTCCTTCCAAAATTTATTAAACCACCCATATAACGAGCAATCTAGTTACTTGTAGAATTTGTCAAATTTAAATCAAAACAGCAGGCAAGATTTAAACTGGAAACCACTGAGGGCAAGAAAGAGTTTTCTACCACTAATCTCAACTGCCACCTTCCCACATTGCAATGGTACTTTGCTGACAGTAGTTACACGCAGTAGAAAAACAGCACCTGAAACCTATAACAGCTCAAAGGGGAAGTGCAGGGAAGCTATTCAAAGCCATCAACAGCATCTTTTGCAGAGCATAAGGATTCTGTCCTCTTGTATTACTGGCTGTTACACATTCTTTCTGAGACTGTTGGGTTTATCTCACCAAATCATGCTGAAGAAACAGAAGGATTAGAAGTGTGGCCCTGTTGGAGGAACAACAGTGTTACTAGGGGTGGACTCTGAAGTTTCCAAAGTCCATGTCAGGCCCAGTCTCAGCTCTTTCTTTCTCCCTGCCTGCAGGCAGATCAGGATGTAAAGCTCTCAGCTACAGCTCTAGTGCCTGCCTGCCTGCCTGCCTGCCTGCAGTTATGCCCCCCCCTCCCATGATGATAATGGACTAAATCTCTGAAGCTGTAAACCAGCCCCAGTTAAATACTTTCCTTTATAAAAGTTGCCTTGGTCATGATTCCTTTTCACAGCAACAGAACACTAAGACAATATCTATGGGTCTAGAGTGCATCAAAACCATACTCTTTCAATTTTTTAACACTCTCTATACCACAAAATCCTTTATAAACATAACAATAATTTTATACTACCCACATGAAACAAAGGGAAGGCTGATTTGCTATTATTGTGTTGCAAAGGAAATTTACATGTGAGATACACTTGTAAGCGGTGAAGAATTTGTAATTGTGGTTCCTCCCCCCCACTTTTTTACATTTATCTATCACATGTGTGCATGCACAACAACATACATGTTCTGGTAAGAGGACAACTTTTTGGAGTTTATCTCTCCTTCTACCATGTGGGTTCTGGGGATAAAACTCAAGTTATTAAATTTGGTAGTGGGTACCTTTACTTGATGTGGGAGTCTTTGTGTGCTGTCATTATCATTAATGAATAAAGAAACTGCCTTGGCCTGTTGATAGGGCAGAACTTGGGTAAGCAGGGAAGACAGAACTGAATGCTGGGAGAAAGAAGAGGGAGACACCATGGAGCCACCAGAGTCCGATATGCCTAATCTTTGCCAGTAAGCCACTACAACATGGCAATATACAGATTAATAGAAATTGGTTAAATATAAGAGTTAGCCAGTAAGAAGATAGAGCTAATGGGCCAAGCAATGTTTTAATGAATACATTTCTGTGGTTATTTCGGGGTTAAGCTAGCCAGGTGGCTGGGACTAACAAGCGGGCCCCCCTCCTACATTTATCTGCTGAGCCATCTCACTAGCCCAGAATATATAGTTTTTATTAGTTGCAGTAGTAACTTTGGAATGGCTTTCTGGATATATATTTTTTCTAATCTTGAGACTATCCCTACTTCTCTACTATCTTTTCTTATCAAAAACCCCATTTTTCAAAAAATTCCAACAAAATCTAGTAACACATTAAAGTTCAACATTTCTAAAATTTTATTATTCTTAATACATACCTTTCACATACAGAAACCCTCTAACACCACACAATTCCATAACCCAAATGCTTCAATTTTACCAACATTCTTTAAGTATTTACACTGGCTTCCATCAACAAAAGTGCAATCCAAACATTTTGACAAAAAAATCTTTATAGACAACATATTTTTGAGCTGGTTTTCACGGTGTCCATTCATTATATTGTCTTTCCATTACCTGGAAAAATAATAAAGTCAACAAAGTATGACGATGAACTGAGCTAGGCAGCATTCTGCTATGGGAATCACACCCTAAACAAAAGTGCTTTCTCCTCACCTCTTCCCTGATCCTCCAACTGAAACTACTCAATAAGTGCTTCAAGAGATTAAAAAGAAAATAAAACAAGTTAGAAAACAGGCACAGTGCAGACTGCACAGTTAGCACTGGTACTGTAAGACAATGTGAAATACTCAGGAAGGCAGTCTAGCAAGTTATGAACCAATGTTAAGTTTTAGCATTTAAACATATAATACTCTTCTGTCATAAGTTAATTTTTCCCAAAAAGGTATGAAAATTTCCTTTACTTAGAAAAATGAACCCCTTTTTACAAAAATTGGAAATTAAAGAATGCTGGAAAAAGTCCTTTGTACACTAGAAAACAATTCACTCATCCCTCCATTTCATGGAATAAAGTCTACCTTTAAAGGTATAAGACCACTGTTACCAAGTGTTTTCCATGTGACTGGGTGATCAGATGAGAAAGGAGAGTTGAGAAGGCCTGAAGAGAAAATGATCAGAAATTAGCTTCTCTCAAAATGGAAGCAGACAAGTTTTACTTGCTCAAAGTATAGAACTGTTTAAAAATAAATGACTCAAAGTGTTAAATTGGATAAAAATCACTTTAGATTATTAGTCAACCTCAAAACTACAAATTACTGGATACTACTCATGAGAAAAACAGAAGTTAGATCTCCTGGATGAATGAATGCTGTGGGACAATGGTCACTTATCCTGTCACTTTATTATTTATAATAAAATGCTGATTGGCCAGTAGCCAGGCATGGAGTATAGGCAGGGCGACCAGGCAGGAAACAGAGGTGGGACAATGAGAACAGGAGAATTCTGGGAAGAGGGATGCTCAGTCTCCAGTCATGACCCAGCTGCAGAGAAAGCAAGATGTGACTGCCTCGCAAAAAAAGGTACCAAGGCACGTGGCCCACACAGACAAGAATTATAGGCTAATATTAGTTATAAGAATTAGTTAAGCCAGGCGGTGGTGGTGCACGCCTTTAATCCCAGCACTCAGGAGGCAGAGGCAGGTGGATTTCTGTGAGTTCGAGGCCAGCCTGGTCTACAAGAGCTAGTGCCAGGACAGGAACCAAAAAAGCTACGGAGAAACCATGTCTCGGAAAATCCAAAAAAAAAAAAAAAAAAGAATTAGTTAATAAGTAGAGCCTGAGATTCTGGGCCAATAAGTTTATAATTGATGTAGACCTCTGTGTGATTCTTTGGGAATGAATAACTGCAGAACCAGGCAGGACAGAAACCTCAAACAACTGAAGCCCTTTAATATTCAACTACAACAAAAACGGTGGTGATCTTTCTTGAAACATTTCAATTCTAACCAATGCGTTCTGGCAAAGTTTGGTGAAAACATTAAGGTCAGCAGATTTCCAAAGTAATATTTACCTATAAAGCAAGTATTGTACAGTCAATTTTATTTTACACTTTAAATAAGCCAACTTCTCCTTTTCGGACAAAATTCAAATCAATCAATGATATAGCAAATGATAAGTATTAGAGTATGTGGCTCATGTTTCTCTTTGTATATAACTACACACATCTATAGTCCTCATTTTATCATCCATATAACATCAAAATCAAATGTTATCCAATTATAGTGAAACTTCTTCATGTGGGGGTCAGAAAACAAACTAAGGAGCAAGAATAAAATGTGGCTTTCAGTTCCACACTGTTTTGGGTTCTTGTTTAGTTTTTTCAATCTAAAGAACTCACTGAGTGCAAAAGATAGGTTGACTTCAGAACAATAACATAGTTTTACTAGAAAATGTCAATAGGTTAAAGAACAGCATTACAAGTATTTTTTATTCTAAAAAAATCAGGAACAAACATGAAGACAAATATGGAATCTGAATAGAAACTTACCAAAATTTTAAACTTGAGTGTACAACAGAAAACAGCTAACTCATAATTATAGCTTTGTGCATCAAAGACAAATTTGCAAATATTATATCCTATAGATCTAACGTAGTTGTATTAAACACCATCTGATCAATAATGATTATTGTTTGTCCTATGCAACTTCAGCATTTCTTGCAGATTATGAAACTTTTCAGATCATCAAACACAAAACCAGAAGTAACAAACCAACTGACAAAAGTTTTAGTTTAGCATAGGTTCTTAAATGCTGTTGTTTCAAATTAAACACCAAGACTTCTGTAGAACGTAAAACTCATTGGCAATAATGTTTAGACAATTATGAAAAGAAAAGCCCCCTAGGATGGCATAAACCAAGTGATATAAAATATTTACATGAACCCCAAATTTGCCTATTCATAAAACAGTTATTTTTAGTAGTCTTTTAATGTATATTTCTGTATCATACTTGAAATTACCAAATTCCTTCATGAGAAGCAATTCTCTAATTCTAATTCTATAAGGGATATCTTCAGCACATTCAAGTATCCAAGTCCTAGTGAACTTTGGAATACCTGGTGTTCTGTATGCAACTTTTTTTTTTTAAGAAACAGTGAGGCATCATGGAAATCTTTAGGATGATCTATTTTCAGATATGCTCTTTGCATTACTGCTACCAAAATGAAACATACTTTCAAAAGAATAAAAACTGTTCTTCATCATTCTAACCAATTTCCCCTTCCTTCCTAGGTCAACTCTGATTTGGGGAACTCAGTATTAAGTGGGCTAATGTGGCAGTAGATACAATGAGAAGTGTACCATGACTGGTTCTGGAGCACAGCAGTTAGGTTAAGAGGTTTGCCTCAGAAGATCTGGATACCAAGCAACTGCTTCAGCAATGCAATCTGTAAACGATGGCCACCAAACCTACAGCATGTGCAAATTTTCTGTAGGTTCTAGAGACACGATCCAAATAACCACGTTCTGCTTTCTGCCCTCTTGATTCAGTATTCATCGTTTCCAATTTCACTTCACAAGACCTGTTATATTCAGCTCACCTAAAACATTTACAACAGCAACAGTTTTCAAGTGTCAGATAATTTGGCTATTATTTCCGGTATGAAAACTGTTAAATTATACAAACTGACAAAGAAAGCACTCAGAACTATTCTCAAATCACCTATCAGTGGGAGTAAGCTGACCTCACCCTGAACAGAAGAACAGAGTCCAGGTAGCCTAATGCAGTACTGGCTCTCCAGGTTTAGACTTACATTCATTTGTCACTTATTTTTCCCAAGGCCCAAACATTTAACAGTGGGTCTCTCAAGAGAGCTAACATTAGAAAAAGCTTCCTCCCAACTCCTACCACACCTTTAGCTTCACCACAGAATCCCACACCTAAATGGCACCCATCCTTCCTACTACCCCAGTACTGCATCAGAGATTCTGCACGAGACTGAAACCCTACCAACCAAAATCAGTCCAATTTCCCATTTGCACTCCAGTCTTAACCACACACCAACATTTGGGAATTAAGAAAGGGCAAGGGGCAGCCCTCATTTTAGTGGCACAAATATACAAAGTAAACTCTGTTTTAAATTAGAAAAGAAATTAATGTCACAGAATGCTCCCCTATAAAAGATATGTAGTAAAGTAATAATATCAATAAAATAGCTATTACTAAAGCAAAGCTTTCATCAATAAGCTTCAAGAACTTTGAAGGAGGAGAATGGCTTCACAAAATGGTAGTCCAGGTTTCCACAGTGTGGACACTGCTGGACATTGCTGTACTCAGAGAAGTACTGCATTCCGATCCGTACGTCGATCACAGGCTTGCCACAGTGCTTGCAGTTCAGACGGGCCTGGGGAAACAGACATCATGAACCACAGTGTCACTGGCTTCACAATACGCATCCAAAGCCATTTGATCAAAGTGCTGGGAACTGACTAAATTCAGAGAAGGATCTCCATTATTAACAGATGCAGGGTATGCACATCTAAGATACACATTCTGGTGTTTATTATTCTTCTTCTCAAGATGACAGTCTCCCAGGTTCTCTATTAATATGAGGTGCCTATCAACAAGAGACTACCTGATCATCTCCACCAGTTACCTAACAGCAACCACCAATGCCCTGGATTTTAAGCAAATGGCTGAAACTGGCTCCCTGCACCCAAACCTACAATGAAAAACTTTCCTGAAGAGTTCAGGTTTATTTTAAAAGCTCATATACACTTTCATTTGACTCCACATAACATTGCTTTCTTTTATATAAAAATAAAATTTCTCAAAAATATCCAATCAAAATTGGCAATCTAGGCAGGAGTGTTATGTATATCTTGAGACTGCTGGAACTCACTAGCATGCGGCATCTTCACCTGGGCCTGGGCCTCTAACAGCACAATCCTGGAGCCCTTCATAATAGATCTGGGAGTGAAGTGGATAGGCAGAAATTACAGATTAAACAGTCTTTATTTAGATCCTTCCTAAAAATGTGCTAACAAATTTGTCCTGAAAGCATTCCTGTGAGGGAGATGATGAAAAGGGGCACACAGTGATAAATACCATGCCCAAGAAAACAGAAAGCAGAACAGCTGGGATTTAAACTAAATGTGTTCCAGAGTGCACATTTCAGCAATACACGGACTATCTTTCTGCAACCTAAAATGAACTCCCTTTAACTACGTCATCCCTCTCTGAGTCTTGAGTATAACGTTCTCTTTAACCAATTATTGTTATTTTTGCCTCAGACTTACCTGGAATCCTTTGTAGTGCCTCCTACTATATCCTCACAATGAATACTTTCAAATGATTATTAATAAAGAGTAATCAAACAGGTTTTCCATTTCCATTTCAGTTGGGGGACCAGAAAATATAGTCTTGGCATATATCAGCTTATATTTAACGAGTAAATATGCAGTATATACTAGAGGACTGGGGGGCGGGATGCCATTGCATATTTCTATTTGAAGATATGAAAATCCCACGGCATTTCAACATGTAGTTGAAAAGTTCAGAATAGGAATCACAGGTTTTAGTCACAACTATGACACAATTTATGTAGACCTGGGAAAAACAATAAAAAATTTGAGTCATCCATCTTAAGCAACAACTCAGAAGGCTGAGTGAGCTCTGCAAGGTCCCATGCAACACTAAGGTGCCATGAGTTTTGTTCATGTCCCTCCTGCTACATCACATATGTGTAGAGAACGGTGTCACTTCCTTTAGTTTCTCTCATCTTAGGGGTGGGCACTAAGGCACGGCAGTAACCATAAAACATGACAGTGATTAACTAGAAGATTATGGTAACTCATTTTCAAAGATAACCTTGAGTCTGGAAATGCAGTCAGTATACCACAAGAGCAGAAAACTAGTCAGCCTTATCCAAAACAAACAAACAGCTGAACTACTATCTCTGCCAGCCTTTGGACTCAACAGAAACTGGTATCTACTGAAAAAGTGGCAACAGGAGGAGAAAATGTTCCTGCTACCCAGGAATGCCTAGCAGAGAATTATGTAATAAGTTCTTCCTCAAGCATGAGAATAATAAATTCAGGTATTCCTGGGGAGTTTTGTCTTCGTAGTTTCTTATCTAATAGGGTTTGTACCAGCCCCTTCCTCCTTCCTTCTGGCAGGTATTCCTCAGGTGCTCCTAGAGTCAGAGAAGAATGCTGCTCTTCTAGCACTTAAGAATTAGGAATTTTTCTGGCAATCTCACACAACTCAAGAGTGAGAGGTTTGGGTTTTGCCAGCTCTCACAGAAAGTAAGCAAAAGGAAAATTTGGTCTGTTGTAGAAAGTAAAACTTTCCTTTTCAGTATAAATTACAACCTTTTGATACAAATGTAATACAAATTACTCACACAAAATGAGAAAATTACAAGCAAACAAAAAGAAAACTAAAGAAACCATGCACAGAAATCTAATACCCAGGCCACCTAACTAGCTGCAGAGTTCAGCAGAGACTTTTAAAGCTTAGTTAGAAATGGAAGCAAGATCCACAGCTAGAAATGGGCTAATCTAGAGTTCGCTCAAAGAGCGAACCAATAATACAAGCAAAGGGGTCAAGACCATGATGGTGAAACCCACAGAAACAATGACCTGAGCTAGAGAGAGCTCCCTGACTCCAGACAGTGAGGCAACTTGCATAGGACCAAACTAAGCACTCTGAATATGGGTGACAGTTGTGTGGCTGGGGCAGTCTGTAGGGCCACTGGCAGTGGGACCAAAATTTATCCCTAGTGCTTGAACTGGCTTTTTGGAGAGTCCATTCTCTTTGGAGGAATACCACACTCAGTCTAGATATAGGGGTGAGGGCCTTGGCCCTGCCTCAAAGTAATAGGACAGACTTTGTTGAATCCCTATGGGAAGTCTTACACTCTCTGAGGAGTGCACGGGTAGAAGGTGTGGGGACAGGAGGGGGAGGGAAGTGGGATTAATATGAAAAGTGAGAAAAGATTGTTTTAAAAAATAAATAAGAATTAAAAAATAGAAGCAAGGTAAGTTTTGTAAATTTTTTCTAACATAACAGATGGAAAATACTCTAAGTCTATTACTGTACATATCTCTGACTACATAATATTCTTCTACAAGATAACAACTAAGGCACTTGAATTATTCTTCACCCTTAGAAGCACCTTCTCCAAGCCCTCACAACTCCCTCAAGGTAACCACCAGGCAGCCTTTAACTCTCTAAGGTACCTTGGTGGCAGAAGTCCAGTGTCACCCACTGCATCCTCACTTCAGTGGATACCAACCTGACAGCAGGGAGAGGCAGCCAGGATGTCGTAGGTGTACATGGTGCCCAGCTGGTGCCAGCTGCCATCCCACCGGGACTTGCACTTGATGCAGATGATCTTGTGAACCCCTTCCAGACAGTCCACACACACTGCATACAGATGCATGAGTCTCCCTGCACACAGAAAGCACAAGGCTGAGGGTGGCTATGGTGGAAAGCATCTTCATCTTCAGTGGCAATACAAATGCCCTCGTAAACAACAAAAAGCAAACATTTTATCAGTTGAATAAATATGAAAAGCAAGGCAGATTCCATCATGTATCCTTAAGCAGTCCTGTTAGGATATTGCTATCAAGATCACAAATTCAAATTTATTGAAAATAGACACTTGCTTTAATTTACTTTTCTAAAATGTGCTTACATTGTCTGCCCATCCAAATCCAAACAATAAATTCACATGCTTATAACCAGCCTGGAATCACCAGGCTTCTCCAGAGTCTAAGTGCAGCATACAATGAACCAACAGGAACCAACACCACTGGCCTGATAGTTGAAAGCCACAAAATATTCATCGAAAAACATCTGACTCTGTATTGTCAGCCCAGAATTTTACCATAGCCACAATTACTATGTTAACTGTCCTCATTTCCAAAACGGCCCGGCTAGTACCACAGCTAATTTAGGAACTAGAATTACATGTTACTTGTGATACGTTACAAGTCCAAAGTATTGTGTACTGGATTCTTAAGGTCACAACTTCATTCCTTCACTGTTCATCAAGGACCTGAAGTCCAAAATATTATTTACTGGGTCTTTTAAAGTCACAGCTTCATTCCTTCACTAGGACTTAATGTTTATAAAGGGAACAGGCCAGTCAATTATGTGAAAAAGGTAAAGGTTCAAATAATTAGTCAGCATGTCCAGGATCTTCCTTGGGCAATATGTAACAGCAACACTGCTTAGAACAGAGAGCACTCTAGAACACGCCTGAGATCAGGGAGCACTCTAGAATACTGCTGAGAACAGGGAGCACTCTAGAACACGGCTAGGAACAGAGAGCATTCTAGAATACTGCTGAGAACAGAGAGCACTCTAGAACACGGCTGGAAACAGAGAACTCTAGAATACGGCTGAATTGGGGGAGCACTCTAGAACACGGCTGAGATCTGGGAGCACTCTAGAACACATCTAGGAACAGAGAGCACTCTAGAACACTGCTGAGAACGGGGAGCACTCTAGAACATGGCTGGGAACAAAGAGAACTCTAGAATACGGCTGAGAACATAGAGAACTCTAGAACACGGCTGAGAACAGGGAACAGCACCCCAGAACGCTGCACAGTGGATCTTATTCAGAATGTGCTGTTCACTACCAAAAGTCAGACTAAGAGTTTTTACCAGTTACTTGCAAAGACCAGCTCTCTTCGTTTTTAACCGCAAGGGCACCTAGTGGTCCATAGAGGGAAGCTTTCCATTGCATTTGCTTCCATGGACTTCTTTTTTCTTGAGAGCAGGACCTATACCTTATCCATCCTTGTCAACCTGAGTGTCCAGCATAATGTCAGCAATGTGAAAAGCTCTGTGTGCTGAATGAATAATAGATGGGGCATGACACTATAAAGTGGGGGATGCCTAGGCCAAAACCAGGAAGAGCGAGCTTCTTACAATGCCACTCACCCCTGTTCTTAAACAGTGAAAACAAGGTTTCACATGCCAAACCCACTGAGCACTTGGGATCATATCCAAAAGTCAATTCAATTATCTGTGAGCCACTAGAACACTTTGCTTCCAGTCTCCTCCTTGGTCCTACCTGAGACACATCTATGCTGCTAATAGAAGTGAACACCAGACACGGAAGATGTTAGTAACAATGGCTGTGATGATGAAGACAAGAACATTCCCTGTGCACTTACCAAGGGTCTGCTCTGGGCTGTGAGTTCTCTATCTATCAATTACTTCATTTAACTCTCACTGCAATGCTATACAAAGGACTCATGATTGTTATTCCCATTTCAAACAGGAGAGACAGAAGATTAAAGAGCCTGGGTAGCTTGTGAAAGCTTACAATGAAAATAAGGAGGCCGGGCAGTGGTGGCGCATGCCTTTAATCCCAGCACTCGGGAGACAGAGGCAGGCGGATCTCTGGGAGTTCGAGGCCAGCCTGGTGTACAAGAGCTAGTTCCGGGACAGGCACCAAAGCTACAGAGAAACCCTGTCTTGAAAATAAGGAGCCAACTCTTGGGAAACCTGAGTCAAAACTTAGTTTCTGGATTTATTTTCCATTACCATTCCACTTAAGTCCTACCCAGAGAATTTCTGAGCCATAGGAAAGATTATGTAAGCAGAGTCCTATTGAAACAATGACATATGATACAAAAACTAGACCATCTTACTTATGAAGACCAAACAAAACCATTTCCTGAATCACAGAGAAGGGGCTGGAAGCAGAGCTGGGGAGGATCAGAAGGAGTAAGGGGCAAAGCAAGGGAATAACAAGCTAATGAACACAGTAAACATCTCAGCAGCATATAATTAACTGAACAGAGGAATTCCATGCCCAAGAATGTGGTCATTCTGTTGGAACTGAAAATGCTTTAAAAGCATGGTTGGGATAAGAGCTTGCTATAAATAAGATCACCCAGACTTCTGAGGTGCAGCAATAGAATCACTGACCCATGACTAATAAATATTTTTTTTTGTGGTACTGGACTTCAGTATTCATTAAACTCCGACTACAGATTTGAAAACCAGACGTTTGTCAGTACCCTGTAGAGTGCACTGACCACCACCTTATATTATCTCTGTGTATGCTTACATACCAGTGTGCATACTGACAGGCAGGCCTATCTAATTTTTGCCTTTCTCCGTCCCCTCCCTGATCAACGCCCTCAGAATTTAGTCTTGAGCTTTATCACAGTCACTTCCTCTTTTCTTGTCACTGAAGACTTTTATTGCCAAGATTTAGCCACCAATGTTAAAAATAAGCTCCCACGTGTTCACCCCAAATGCTTGTTTCTAACAGTGCTTGCTAGATATCTCCACAGAAAATGAACTAAACATATTCAAATGCTCTCCCCTTCTTTCCCATTAAAATGGGCCTTTTCCCAACCTTACCTACGCCTGCCTGTGAAAGCATCATTTATCTGGTCTGGAATCAGGGTGAACTAAAGAAGACCCTTTTGTATAGTCAAGGTACTCCAAATTGGCAATTTCTTTAAAAAGCCTCCTACAGCTATCTCTTCTTTCTAATGCTCACTATCTCAGACAGTAGCTTCTCATCTTCATGCATATAGATATGACAACGTTTCAACCCTGACTCTAGGTCCCAAACCTTCCAAGCAACGTTTTGGGGGTATATTATTATAGGTTTGTTTTTTAAATGCTGAAAAAGCTCTCAATTCATAATCACATGGCAAAGGGTTTCTACAATGGCTTGAAAGGAACGCCCTGCCTCACCCCAGCCTGCTCTCCACATCTCCTACTCATTTTCCACTCTGCAACATTTCCAACCAAACAGTTCTCTTCATCTCATCATAACCTCACTGGTTTTCTTTTAGCCACCATCCCTCATACTGCCTTCATACTGCCTCCTGAAGATCCAAACCCAAGTGGCCCTTTCTTCCTTGGAAATCTCAGAATACTCAATGTACAGGATTACATAATGTGTACATGCTACTTACTAATTCCATGTGTGATACTATTAGTCACAGCCTCGGGTTTAGGACGGTCAGTTACATTTTATAAAATCATTTTATATACCAAGATTATACACTGATGACTTCATCTAGCACATCTGCTAAGTTTGACTGACAAACATATACTTGGTGGACATAAAAATAAATATGTCCATCATAAGTACCCTAATTCATTTTTATAAAGTATGGTCCGAGTTTTAAGGTACAAAAATAAAATAAAGGTGTTTCTACCCTTGTGCTCAATAAAAACAAAAACACAAATTCCACTTCTATAAAACAGGAAGAAAGCTAACTGCCATATAACTGTGTTTCTGTCACTGACCATTCTCTTTCCCACCCTGGGAATGGTGTCCCCTACCCTTTCCAGTCTTAGCTGAGCACTATTCAATTCTATACTTTTGAAATCAGTTGTTTTTGAGTTTATAGCTGAATGAGATCATATGGATCATATGGTTTTGTCTTTCTGTGCTTGGCTTATTTCATTTAATTATGTTCTCCAGCTTTATCCATTTGAGTAAGTTCAAGGTGAATCCTCACCCACTATCAATAGGATGTAGTACAATCATGACAGAAAACAGCAGAGTTCTCTCAAAAAATTAAAATTTGAGCCAGGCACGGTAGCTCACATTTTTAATTCCAGCATTATCGAGGCAGAGCTAGGATAATATCTCTGAGGTTGAGATGAGCCTGATCTATATAGCCAGTTCCAGCCAGCCAAGGCTACAAAGATCATCTTTCAAAAATAAATACACAAACAAAAAATATGAATTACCTAACAATAACAACAGAATATGTAAAAAAAACCTTTTAATTAGAATACCGTATGATCCAGAAATCACACCATGGGTATACAGCCAAAGGAAATGAAATCAGTATGTCAGAAGTGCTTGTGCTCCCACAGTCACTGCAGCAATACTCTTAACAGCGATGGGCTCAAACCAAGAGTCCACCAAATGAGCAGAGAAAATAGTTTTGTATATATACATATACACACATATTTAGCCATAAAAGAAATTTAATCATTGTCGGGAATATTGTTTTCAGGTGTGTGATTTTTGTTTATGCTGCATTTGTTTAATTCTGTGAAGCTGTGTTACTGTGCCTGTCTAAATCACTTGATCATCATAAAGAGATGAACGGTCACTAGCGAGGCAGGAGCAAGGCTAGACAGGGCTAGCAAGCACAGAGTATAAATAGGAGAACTGAAAAAGAGCAACGAGAGAACCAGAAAAGGAGGACACCAGGAGCCAACCACCTAGCTACACAGCAAGTCATGGAGAAAGAAGCAAAGTAAGATATACCAAATGAAGAAAGATAAAAGCCCAGAGGCAAAAGGTAGTCAGGATAATTAAGAAAAGCTGGCAAAAAAATAAATAAATAAAAGAAGCAGCAGCAGCCAAGCTAAGGCCAGGATTCAAAACTAAGAATAAGACTCCGTGTGATTTGAGTTGGGTGGTAAACCCCACCAAAAGAATAAAAGATCACACAACAAATCATACTGCCATAAAATGGATAAACGTGAACATTATATTAAGTAATAAAAATATGCCAAGTCAGACTAATATCATATGATTCACATAGTTGTGGCATGTAAAGGTACTGATAGGAGTACAGAATTAAGAACAATGGCTACCTAAGGCTAGGAAAGGGAGGGAGGATGAGGTGGGTGGGAAGAAGCTGGTTAAAGGACACACAACTACTTACAGTTAGACGTAAAAGTTCTAATGTCTCACTGTACTGTAGCAACTATAGTCAACAGAATGATGTAGTGTTTTTCAAAATAACTAGGGTTTTGAATGTCTTGCCAGAGATTATAAATATGAGGTGAATGGTATCTTCAGTACCCTAATTTATCATTACACAATATAAACAGGGATCAAAACATTACACTATAAACAATAAATATGTACAACTGTCTTAATTAAAAACACAACTTTAAAAATATCCCAAACTAGCCTAGTGAAATATGAAAGCAGACATAGAACCCATTCCAGCTGGGGCAACAGAAGCCAACCAGCCAACCCTGCCATGGAACTATAGGAGGGCTTTAAATCCCAACAGGTCACAAGGCTTTGTGGTATCTATCCCACCTCATAACAAAAGCTAAAGGACTCCAGAGAATCATGCAAAACACACAAACAAGACTAATCCTAACTACTCCTTGCTCCTTTTTCTTCCTCTGAAAGATAATAAAAGAAAGTGTGCCTGAGAAACAAGAATGTGGTGTTATTGAAGAGTCCCTGAAACTAGGCTTGCTGGTGCACACCTGGAACCCAGTATTTGGGAGGCAGAGGCAGGCAGATCTCTGCAAGGTCAGTCTGATCTACATAATGAGTGTCTCAAGAAATAAAACAAAAACAAATAAGCCTCTGGAAATTAAAAATAGTAGAAGACAAATCCAAGAAAATGTTCTGTTTCCAGAAAGTATAACAGAATATTTGAGACAAGTAAAGATAAACCCAAGGATTTCCTTTCCCATCAAAGGGGAGTCGGGAATGTCAATCTAGGAGGTATGGTGTCACATCAACAGGAGTTCCAGTACTGTAAGTGTAAAAAGAAATAAACCAAAAGTAAGGAATCTCCAGAGTGAGGATCTAAGTATATGTATTCAACAATCCAAGATAGTCCACAGTAAATGAAGGGGACAGGGGCTGAGGAGCACATCATGGTGGGATTTCAGAACACTAGGGTCCTGAGTGCTCCAGGCAGAATGGAGATAATGGGGATGAAAGCCTTAAGAGATGTTTACAAAAGAGGAGAAAAACTTCAAAAACTATGTTAAGTGTGTAGAAGTGGTTTACAAAGCTGCTAAAGGAGAGCAACCTTCCAAAGTTAAAATACAAAAAATAAAACCATCACTCTCAGGCACTTGACCCTTCAGATTCTACACCAACAGGTAGCTCTTAATGCATCAGTTCTCAGGGAACTGTGATTCTGCAGCCATCCTGGGCTACACAGCAAGATCTTTGCCTCCAAAAACAAAATAAAAAATCTAAGGCAATGAAAACATGAAGAAAAGAACTCTCATTTAAAACAGTGTCCTTGACAAGACTGTTTCTATAATGGGAATATATATCTTGGTTCAACACCACTAACAGCAGAAACACTAGGGATTTATCCCCAGAGGGAGATATGCAGTCATCCGCCTTTAACACCAGTACAGGCAGAAGACAGTATCTAAAACTGGAGAATGAAAATAACTACTTAAAATCCTGATGTCAAAAACCTTGAAGAATTAGTTAGCATTTCTAAGTGTTTGGCTCTGGGGGCTGAGACAGCAGGGTTTAGTGGGAAGAAGACAGGAGTCATTTTTATCTGATTCTCTAGCATTTTGTTAAACTCATATATCATGCATTTCTTCCTTTTGGAAGTTCAACAGTTTTAATTTCACACCTACACTGACCAACTCTTTGCCTTTCAATTTATAACTAAAATGTGCCCAAGTCTTTGTCAAACATATAAGCTAACCACTACACTCCCTCAACCAAGGTCATGCCTAGGCTTTCAATCATCTCCCATTTTCCTTTTGATGCTATCAATAGTCTTATCTTTCACAATTTTAAAATTAATTCAAGAAGTCATCGGGCCCTTCTTGTTTCCCGCTTTCCCAGTTTACAAGGATCACAGCCTGCTAGGCACATTAAAGGATTCAAACTATTTCACAGCAAAGAGAATAATGTAATTCCTTCTCTAAATTTTTACTCTGTTGTGAAAAGCTAAATATCAGTGGTTCTTTCTTCAAATTAGCACAGAATAAAGGCATAAAAAGACCACCTGTACCCAGTACAGTGACATCAGAATACAAAAACCACCAGCCCACTGGGTGAAGCTCAAATACTCATGTTACCTAGCCCTTGGCTAGAACAAAAACATGTCAGTTGTAATAAAATTTTAAAAAATGCAATTCCATCTTGTTTGCTTTTTGGGTGTTAACAAACAGAAAGCAGGCAAGGTGAATGAACACCTATACCTTGAAGGTGACAAGGAACATCATATTCAATCTCATCATGTCTTGAGGGGCTTAAGAACAGAGTTCCATCCACTAGTGGGAACTGTTCAAACACAGGAAGTGCCCGGTGGCACAAAGCGCAGTTTACAACATTTCTGTGGCTGGCACTGAGGGCTGCAAGAATGAACTTCCGTAGATCCTCGCCTTGGCCCACTTGGGCGTCGTCTTCCATTCGAACATGGAAAGTGTTCAGCTTATGCCTGGGGATGTGAGCGAGGAGTTCAGAGAGGTCCAATCGCCGCAGGAACTGTACAGGGGTATCAAAGTGTCCTCCCCTGTGCACAGACAGCCCAGCCGAACTGTAATCAAAGTGGGCATTTCTGAACACATGGCCCCCAGGCATGGCCTTTTTGTGAGGCTCAAGATGAATGGCATTCTTTAAGAATTCCCCAAGGTATCTGGAGGAGCGGGGACCACTAAAGTGGGCTGGGGAGAGGATAGAGTAACCAGAGGGTGGGGACTGGCCAGGGGAGCCACAGGGGGAGCGGGCCCCATAGGCTGCAGCATTAACTGTCTTTTCCTGGGAGTTCTGCCTGTCCATGGAATGCCGCCGGGGAAGGTCATGGTTCAGGCCTTTCTGGGACTTGTTCAAGGGCCTGCATTTTTTCGCCTCTTCCCCAGCCTCCCCTGGAGGCCTTGCTGAGTTCTTCTCTGACCCAGACTTCTTCTTTTTTTCATCTTGCATCCGCTTTACCTGGTACCAGTCTGTGTCCTTTTTTAAGTGGCCCTGCCCACAGCGGCAGGAGCAGAAGCGGAAAGCCAGGTCGTAGCCCTTCTTGGTCCACATGTTCTGGCGGCACTGCTTCTCGTTCCAGCTGCGGGCCCTGCCAATGCAGTTGAACTGCACCAGGATGCTGCTCTCCCACTCATAGAAGCACTGCAGGTGCATCCAGGTGCTGCACGGGCAGTGCTCGTTGTTGCACACCACCTTCTGGTAGTCATCCTTTTCCAGGTCCACTGGCCTCCCAAAGCTGCAGATCAGGGGCGTGGCACAAGGAGCTTCTAAAAGAAGAATAAAAGAGAGTCAGTACATAGGATATGAGGACTCCAATCTATCACCATTGGCCAATACATGTCAGTTATAACCACTGGAACAAATACCGGGCAGATTTAGAAACATTCATCATTTTCTTCTAATATGATGCTGTCCCAAAGGAATTTATTTTCTATTATTAAATATCTGCTGAAAAACATACTGATAAGTTTCAAGAAACCCAAATCCTTCATAGATCAACTGTGTTCCAGGCCTTCTGACAGTGCAGTATAAAGGTTTCTCAAGATGTGGGTATAATAACAGGCAGTTCCAGAGTTCCTTTGAAAATGAGTCACTGAAGTGCAGCTAGGAATTAATATGAAGCTACTAAACCAACCATTCTGGTGGTGTCTATGAATGTTTTATCAGGGGTTTTAGACTGTCCTGAACAGCAAATAGCATTGAGAAAATAGACCAGTCTCATCTCAACCTTTCTTCTAGAGTCATCAGGTACTAATGGCCAGGATGTCTGATCAAACTATTGGCCTACACAGAACTCCACTGTCCAGATGTGGAAAAAAAAAAAAAACATATTTTCTCTCTCTCCTCTCTCTCCTCCCCTCCCCCCTCACCCTCTCTTTTTGATACTTGAGACAGAGTTTCTCTGTAGCTTTGGAACCAGTCCTGGAACTAGCTCTTGTAAATCAGGCTGGCCTGGAACTCAGAGATCCACCTGCCTCTACTTCCCGAGTCCTAGGATTAAGGTATGCACCACCACCACCTGGCTGAAAACAACCATTCTCTTAAAGTATTCAGACAGAAAGCAACAAAGAAGTACTTCTGCAGTCTTACACATTACCCATGCAGAGTTCAAACAGCTAGCAGGTTCCCAGAAGTGAAGAAAACATAGTAACAAAGCAGGTCCATTTCTTAAGAGGTATTTGTTTGCATGGAGACTGACAGATACCAGATTCTTACAGCTTCTCAACGACCACCTAGTACCTGGACTTAGAATATGCCTTTTAAAACCATCAAGACCACCTGTGATAGAGACGCTAACAAGATCAGTGGTCACCAGAGAAGAGGAGAGGGATGAAAGTGTTTCTAGGTCAGTACAGCTACTCTCTTATGATATACCGCGACAGAAACTGCATATCATTGTACCCTTATCAAAATCCACAGCACATAAACACCAGCAGTGAACCCTAAAAGTTAGCTTTAGAATTCAGTGCTGTTATGTATCAACAGAGGCTCAGGACCCAGTTTGTGTGCAGAACCAGCTGACGGTGGGGTGAGAGGCTGACGTAGGGGTGATAATAGAGAGTACAAACACATTAACTGTATTTTCAATTTTGTTTCAATCTGCCCTAAAAAATATTTACTTTTTAAAGTGGGGGAAGAGGCAAACGGGTAAGTACCAATTCCAAGGAATACTAGCCCCAAGAAAGTGGGATGGTATTTTACTTTTAAAAATGTGTATAATGTGTGTGTATTTAGATTTATATAGCAAAGCTATAATTTTTAGTGAGCACTAATGCTTAGAGAGTTGACAGTATATAGAACTTACTACTGTTGTTACTACCATGAATGGAAATCTTACTATACAGTTATGGCATTTTTATTCGTCAAAGAAGCTTTGTAAGGTGTTAGCTGAAGCTCTAAGAAAGAGGTAGTAAAATTAGCAAAACGTGTATCCAAAGTGGGAAATTAAGAATCTAGCAGGGCAAGAACTGAGTAGACACAGTTCTGGCCATGCCAAGGAAGAAGACATGATGCCACAGGCCCACACTAGCAGCTGCCAGTTATGTGTGCAGAGGCTAAGTGTGATTACCTGCCCAGAAAAGACTAGCACACCAAACAACAAAGCAACAGGCTAGCCCCAACTGGTCTCTTTGCACTTCTACAGTTTTTAACATAATTTATTAATTCCCCTTAAGTTCCAGTCCGTATTTCCATGCTGTTCCTCTTTAGACTCCTGCCAGGATTAGTACTCAGCATCTCTCTCTTCACTTCCCTAAGTAAAACCAAAAGCAAAATTTACTATTCCTTAACAAGGGCACTACTGGCATCTGGATACTTCTTTATAGAGTAAAGAATGCTTACATGTCCTAAGCATTTGACCTGTATAACCCCACCCACTTCAACTTCCTATGATCTGGAGGTGGTCTACCGGGGCTGGATTCCAGGCCTTGCCCCATGCTAGGAACTTGTTCTACCAGTGTGCTGCACCCCCAGGTCTACCCAACTAGAAATCATTGGGCTTGATCCAAACAGTTCCAAGTGCTACACAGAGGTATTTAAAACACATCTGCTGTAAATGTGATGCTAAGGAAGCATTATGAGACTTAAAAGTTGTTTTAGATTACATACCTTCAGTGGTGGTACTGTGAAAGTTGGGACAGACAGAAAGAAGGGTGTTGATCAAATGTTAAGAGCCTGAACTTAGGGAGCAATGCCACATATCTGTCAGTGCAGGAGACACAGAAGAGCAATGATCTGACTGACTTCCCTATTTGGGAAAGAGAATACGAAACATAAACATAAAAAATGGATTGGGAAGAGAATTGTGACTAGCAAGTCTGCTACAGAGAACAGTAAAGCAGAAAGAGAATATACTCTAAGACAAGTCAAGAGAAAATTATGCCAAATCAGTCATGGGAAATACTTAAGAATGGAGATTAGTGTTATATCCTTGAACAAGACCAGTGTTTCAGAGCATCTGCACTACTGACAATTTGGGAACTAGATAATTCCTGTGGTAGGAGCTACCCTGTGCTATAAGGTATTTAGCTACATTCTTGACTCTCACCTCACTGTTACCAGTAACATTCCTTCCCTCAGTTTTAATGCTCAGAATGTCTTCAAACATTTACAGATAGTCCCTGGGGAAAAAAATGGCTGGTTGAGAAAAGGTAAGGTAAAGCCAGAAGCTCACGGGAGGAGTAGGGAACCAAGCACTGCCACCCCTGTCTAGTGTCTAGTGTAAGAGAAAAATGGTGGGCAAGACAAAAGTGAAGCGACTACATGCACATAACTCTCCAAGAAATTTGTATGTAGACACAAGGGGAAGAAAAGAGAATGAGAATGGAACAGAAGACAATGAAGGCTGAGGACAGAGCATTTCCAGGAACTCAGGGCTCTGCAGCTTGAAAACATAGCACAGGGAACAATGAGAACTTGTACCTCCTCAGAAACCTTTGCAAGTTCACCACTGCCCATTGAGTAACCAATACACCATCCCACAAAATCCAGCACACAGGTGGATAGACCTTTAAAGCCTGTGCAAATACTAGCTATGACTCCTGCATTCCAATTACCTCCTTCAGAGTGGGATGGCAGGGCCTTAGAAAAATAGCCCTAAATGACTACCGTGGTTTCTCCAGCTGCCTCCGAGGACGCTAACTCTTAATCTTCATTTGTCTAAATCTCATTTTGTACAAGAGAGAAAGTCACAGTGTTAATTCTGCCACCAGAATGCCTGCATCTCTAAATGCCAGTAGCATTTCTAACAGTGGTTCTCAACCTTCCTAATACTATGACCCTTTAATACAGTTCTCCCATTCACAGTAACTGTGCCACAAATAAGGTACTGCTGCTTTCAGGGTACACCCATAAAACTGAGTTCACTCCACCACTCTGAAAACAATTTCAAGCACCCTAAGCTGACAGAGAGCTAGGTGGGGTTGGGTCAGGAAGATCATCTGAAGTCATAAACGCATTCTAGAACTTTAAAGTCTATAGTGGAGACAAGGTCTTACATAACCTTGTATACCTGTGACTAGGAAACTGTAGTTGCTATGTAATTAAAGTTTTGCTAATGACAGGAATGGACCAAGCAGATGCAGTACTTGGGAGGGAGCAGTTGAGGCCCTGCTGAACAGAGACAGAAAGGTGAGAACAGATATGTAAATGTACACCCAGACCTTTTTTGTCACCTCACTTCCTCAAACCACAACTATGTACTCAGGACAGCAAATGTGAATTTCAGAATTTCTGAACATCTCCATGTCAAAGTAGTTTCTCTCACAACATGAAACTCCTGGTAACTGTTTTCATTTTCTGGTCAGCCTATGTAGCTATGACACTCAGCTCTCAACTCATTAGTTTTCAGGCCTTGACCAAGACACTGAAGTGCCCCATGCTACTGTATTCTTACCTGTAAATTGGTAAAATAACAGTGCCTACCTCAAAGGGTCACTAGGAGTAATAGAAGAGTTACTGAAGTAGCTCAGATAGAGCTTAGCATTTATTCATTAAACTATAAACAATTACTGCTAAAAAGCTAAAAAAAATTCAAGAAACTGAGTTTGTAACACAGCTACACAAAAGTGACCAACCTTCCTTCCACACAGGCAGCCTACCTAGACACATGGGGAGTACAGCACACACTTCAAGCAGTGTACATTAGTGTACCTTCTCACTTATCCCTTCACTACACACAAGTACACACCTCCTCTTTCTCACCTGGGTCCTCTCAGCTTTCTCTTCACCTCAAATTCCTTCCACAAACTCCTAGACCAAAGAAGCTCCTGTCTCCATCCCACATCATCTCTCTCTACAGTGAGCCTCCAAGCACACATTAAAAGTTCCCTGTCAAAATGCTACCATTATCTTGCCTGCACTATTCTCAACGTAATTCTTTATTGATCATGACTTCTTATGTGTTCTAAGTTATAAAGTGGTAGTGTTGTATTTTTCCTTACAATAAACAAAGCAGGGTGGCATACTCCAAACATTTCACTAACTGACTTGTTTTTAACACCTTAAAGATGTTCTCAATATCAGAAAAAACTAAGTACTTTGCTATACATTTTGTCCAACCTAAACCCTCTTATTCCAAACTTGGGTAGCAGGGATTCATAAAGCACAAAACTAAATGTTATTCATGAAAATGGTCCTAAAGACTTGTCCCAACAAAAAAACAACCATCTAAGTCTGGGATCAATATGGGGGAAACATGTTCAAACACATAAATATGCAATCACTGTGTTGTATTTGAATTCATAGGTGTATTAAATTTTATAAGCTT